TAAATATATCCAACCATCTTGTACTTTTTGTCGCAAATCTAAAGATATTTATTTACAGTTGCAAGCAATTTGTGTAATTAATTCTTTTTATTCCAGTATTTCAGTTCGGTTTGTTTTCGCTGTGAATCAAGCATAAATATGTATTTGCATAAATTTTCAATATTTTCCAGCTAATTGCTTTGCTCAACTATACGTTGTTGTTTGTAGAAGTTTTCTTATCACACTACCCAAGATGCAGCGCTTTTTCTTTTCAATAAATTTCAGCTTTTTCTCCCGAAGTTTTCAAGCACCCACACCGCCATGAATATGCGATTATCGAGATGGCTTGAAATAAATATGCAAGCTTGGCGAATAATTAAAATCGCCATAGCTGCTTGGACCCACCATGCCGTTCCTCACTACCAACATACACAGACATGGAAATCTATCGCATTCGCTGCTTTGCCGCTGGCGTTTCTCAACTTGCCGCCGAATTACCGCGCTTGCCCGCCAACGACGCCGCTGATTGCTCCGCTGTGGCGCTTTATTGCGTTAATAGTTCGGTAGTAATCCATGCTAAGATAAGCGCCGCACTTTATAGCCGACAATTAAACACTTCACTTTAATCTGTTTGCGATAATTATGGGAACAAGTACTCCCAGCTAAGTATTTATCTACGCGCAATTAGCACCTATTTTTGTGTTATCCTCTTTGTAGGAAGCTCGTCTGTATGTATGTATGCATGTAGATACTTATGTTTATTTGTGAATAGATGGCAATGTCTATTTGTTGGTGCAAGAGCGGCATATGATCCATCATTGGATTGGGTTGTCCGCAGATTTGAAAAAATGGAAAAAACGAGGAATATCGGTTCGTGCTTCGATACTTCATTTTTGGTGTAGAAAAAACACGTTTCATAGTCAAAGTCAAAACTTGGTTAATCCATATTGAAACTCGATCACAAGTCGATTTTTGCTGATCCATACCAAGACGCCCAAAAACGACTACCACGGAGGACAATATGACAAATACAAGTGCAACCATGAGACCACTTTAAAGCGATGCTTGACGCTGTTTAAGCGGAATCCGAAATAATTTCGTGACCGTCGTCGAAACATGGATGCACTGGAGCACACTGCAAACCAAGGGACCGTCGAAGTAGTGGACGACAAATCTGTTCCGAAGAAGACAAAGACTTTTACTTACTACGGGCCGGTAGGATGACAATCAAATTTTACTGAGATTCTCAAGCAGTTATCGACATTAAATGCATGAAGAAAGCAAAATGATCAAGAGGCTCTCCTGTGCTGAAATCTTGGATCGATTCAACGCCTAAAAAACAAAAAAAAAAAACAAAAAAAAAATATAGATTGCTTTACACAACAACAATATCTTCTTCACATCTCCGTGTAACTTCCTTTTATTTCCAAAGTTAAAAAAGTCACTTGAGGGGTAGAAATTTTGAACGAATAAGGAGGATTATTAGGAACTATTTTGAAAGCTCTTTATTTTAGGAATCTGCTCTGTCTTATTTGATGTTCTAAGCGATGTTGTATCAAGTAATGAGAACCTAAAAGTAGGATATTAAGTATAACTTTGTTCGATTTTGGCCTGGCTACACTTGAAATGTGAAAGGACGGTTCGAGTTCAGTGCGTTTGGAAACTAAGTATATACGTTTAGGATTTTATATGCCAGCTTTTGATCCCTTGACTACTCTTGTCGAACGGTTTTTTATTACCAGTTTTTAAACTCATGCCGTAAAGAAATGGTCACATTATTAGAAACCAAACTCAAACGAATAATGAACTACCATTGAAAGACAACCTCAGGGAATAGACTGAATGAGATATAGACTATCTGAGATACATATACAATAGACAAGCCAAGCAAGTAGAATTTAGACAGCGTTTGGAATACTACAGGGACCAAGTAAACGAAAGCTAGCACCCTGTCCTGGGGTCGAATCGTTACATCCGTGAACGTAATACTCGTCACGTAAGAGCCTGTATTTTGTATTATGACATACGTGATCGTAATCTGGCATGATGACATAGGTGAACGAGTATATAAACGTATCCGTTTGTTCGAATCGTCGGTCGAACGCAAACTACCAATCATAATAGACAAATTAATGGAAATACGACCAAAATTTTTTTAAATTTTAAGTTTTTTATAATTTTTAGTAATAAAGAACATAAACAAGAAACCAATGAAAGGAATATCTAATTAATAAATAAAAAAATTAATTATTTCTATGAACAAAATTTGTGTATTTTAGTTGACAATAAAAAAAATATTATTTACAAAGTTAAGGACATACATATACATTTTTGAATTAAATTTATTAAAAAATACTTTATTTGATATCTTATCGTTTGGTCGATTGCGGTGAAGCGGTCCGCTAACCCGGTCCATTTCTTGTGTGTGATAAGAATCGCAATTTTGAGGGTCGTAACTTATTGTAACTTTTATGCAGATGTTATGTAATGCCTCACAAACGTTAGCAAATCTTCCAGTTTTGTGGGGTGACACCTTCCTCTCTTGCCATATCCCAAAATTCTCCACCGTCTTTTGAAGATTCCAATGCTTTGTTCAATGATACATCTACAAAGAAAATTTTATTAATGAGGATTTCTATTTTTTTTTATACCTATGCTATTGCTACGATCTCTTAACTATCTCCGCACTATTTTTTATCACTTTCACTAGAGCTCAAATAAAAAACCAAAGTTGGATTAATTTTGATATTTAATTCTTCTTCTTCTTGATTGGCGTAGTCACCGCTTACGCGATTATAGCCGAGTTAACAACAGCGCGCCAGTCGTTTCTTCTTTTCGCTACGTGGCGCCAATTAGATATTCCAAGTGAAGCCAGGTCCTTCTCCACTTGGTCCTTCCAACGGAGTGGAGGTCTTCCTCTTCCTCTGCTTCCCCCGGCGGGTACTGCGTCGAATACTTTCAGAGCTGGAGCGTTTTCCTCCATCCGGACAACATGACCTAGCCAGCGCAGCCGCTGTCTTTTAATCCGCTGAACTATGTCAATGTCGTCGTATATGAGGAGGATGGAGTCATGTGTAGAAGTTCACGCAAGTGAGGAAAGTTTTCTGATCGCCAYTCACRTRGGWGTGGYYWKAAACKATYCTTWTACATATGACTCAAGCAGCTCACGACTTCCGGTCTTTGACCAAGTATCCTCTGGGTAGCCTAAGAACATCCGTTCGAAGGTGAGCTAAAGTGAGAAGGCGAAACATTCCCTGCATAGGGTTGTGCGCTGGGTTTGGGACCCGCCACGTAAAAAAACCACCCCAATGAAAACCCAACAACAGCCTTGATATTTAATTAGTTTATTGAAAATTTCGCAACAGTTTTCACAGTTTCAAATCTATTGCGACCTAAAAATACGATCCAAAGCCAAAGGTAAAGTTTGCAAGATTTTAACTGACAGATCGTTGCTAACCTGATATTGAGAAAACCATTCTTTAACTTGATCTTCCTCCAAATCAGAAAGGAGCACTACGCGAAATGTTCACAAACACAATTATAGCTTGGAAAGTGTAGAAAATTTTTTTTTTAGTTATTGAAAAAAATTACGTGAAACAATTTTTAAAATTATTAAAAGCGAAGTGTTAGCAACATTATTTCCCTCTTCTGGAGAAACTCTTCTATCATTATATACCCTTTTTATACCAAAATTCGTTTGCAGTCCCCGACCACCAAGGTACTGACAGTTTCTATAATATCAATATCTCTCTTTTTAAATCATATTCAATATCCGCTCAAACAGTAGTTGTTTCGTTCACGCATGTTTGTCTGCAGCCTTTTTTTCCTCTTCAAAAAAAACTGTGCTGGGGATCTGATTTGTGGTTTCGGTATATCTTTAGAATGTTTTTTGCACCCTGCTCGTCCCTACAACTGCTTACAATTCGTTGTTTATTGTATCACAGATCCTTATTTTTCCCTCTCAGTTCACTGCGTTTTTTTGAGCCACCGTAATAAGAAGGGTTTGTTGCGCCTCCCCAACGATTGTTGTTCATTTTTGTTTTAAAAATTTTACCGCCTTTTCGTTCGAACACAATGTTCAAAATAAAAATCAGCTGTGAACATGTCTCCTAGTAATGACGTTTTACAGTTTTTATGTATTCACAATGCAACTTTTAAGAACACATTCACAATAATTCACAATAATCAAACTATATGTAGGTAAACTAATCTCAACTTGGTGAAAACGGTTTTGCAGTTAAAGCTAGGCTTAGGTACCAGAAGTTAAGGACAATATTAACCAAAGATAGTAATCATTTTTGTTATTGGGAACCGACTACAATTAAAAAACTGCCGGTCTAAGCTTCAGATTTTCGGTGAATACTCTCAAATATATATTCTTTCGATATATAGTATACGCATGCAAAACAAGAAATATTTTCTTCAATTTTATTTTGGAACTCGAAAGTGAATATAACACCTTAATAAATTGTTAAATACTTCAGACTGAAAAATGTTTGTTACACCTTGCAATAATTCAAAGGGACCGAACGAAACTTTATTCGCGAACGAAACTTTAGATGGTCGTAACAACGGAAGAAGTTACGTCATATTTTTCAAAAGCATTTGTGTAGCTCGTAAATAATTATAAATTTATTTAACTATCTCCTTAAGGAAATATAAAATCAAATAATATAATACAAAGTAAATATGCTATACTCTAGACGATTGCGTTCTTAGTAGTTGCTGAAACTGCATTTGAAAATGTACTAGCTTTAATTCAAACCTTTTGTCAAACAAGCTACTTCCCGGAACTTGCGCAAAGCGCACGAAACGTGAAACATCTAGAAACTGTACACAACATAACTGCACAAATGATGCTAACCAAAAACTCAACATCGAGGCTTGCGCAAACAACGCTATGACTTACCTGACAGAACGGCAATACTTACAATTTCAAAAGTAACGCCAAATAGTTTTAAACCACGTGCTCACGCTTAAACAAACAACCCCAATCATTGATACCCAAAATACACCAAAAATTACTACCTTTGACTTTCCACCGTAAGTCGAGTACTTTATTGAATATTTGTTTGAATGTACAGGTTTAGCCTTTTTCTTGGTAAAAGGGATGATTTGCTATAAATACAGGAAATAATGAGCAAAATGCACCCCTCTCTCTTTGTAGATGTCAACTGTAAAAGTATAGTCGCTTCAGATTGAAGATTGATTATGGAAGTGTCTCAACCTCATAAAAAACTGAACACTTTTTCATAAAATCATACACATTAAATTCTATGGGTGTACACTTTTTCTGATTTTTTTTTTGTTTTTGTTACTGAATATGTTGAATAGTTTAAATGTTATATTAAGAACTAAGTTAAGCCGCAACTTCTGATGCCTCGGAACCGTTTTGGTTGTCTTCTTTAACAGGTTCGTCCAGCTTAGCTTTTTTCTCTGGTGTGGCTGCAGTGGAATCTTCTGTTTTTGATTCTTCTTCGGCTACTTTTCTCTTAACAGCTTCGGCGGGTGCTGCATCTGTAAGAGATTATTTTAAGCATTAATATTTTATTTTTATATATATAGTATTTTTATTCTTTATATATATATATTTTGAAAGGTGATAATAAAAATATTTGTTGAGTATATATATATATAAATATTTTACATACCAGTTGCTTCGCTCTCCGCTTCCTCATCTTTGCCATTTTCTTCTGCAGGAACGGCAGCTTCAGCCTCGGCAGACGCTTCTTTTGGAGTTTCGGTTGTAGATTCAGCAGCTACTTCCTCAGCATCACCGTTTTCCTTGGCGGTTGCACTGTCAGCGCTACCATTTTCGGCGGCTGGTGCTGCTGCTTCTTCAACCACCTCTTTTTCTTTTTGTGCTTCTTTTTCTACTTCATCAGCGGCGACTTTCTCGACAACTGGAGTTTCGCTGAAAACATCAAAAATGTTAACGTTAAGAAAAAATACATTTATGATAGCCCAATAACTAAAATGTATCATAGCTATACTTTTCGAGAAGCTACAACGGTTACAACGCCACTTCATTTGAATTTGCACATTTAAGCAAAACTCGTTATTTGTTTAGCTGTAGCGAAGCGTTAAAAGCAAAAGAATTATTGAAGTTGGCAACAAAAAAAACCAAATATATATCAAAACCATCCAGAGAATTACCATTGCTATTGATACAATAACGTAGCTTGTGCGCAACAAAAATATATCAAAAACGAATACATACGAATACGGCAAAAATTGTACGAATGGAATATAAGCGAAGCGTTGATAAATGATGTATGTGAATAGAACTAGTTTAGCGCAACAAAAACGCACAAGGAATATGTAAAAGCAAAGAAAAAAGCGGAAAAAAGTTAGCCGCAAATAGCGAACGCTTAAAATGTTGTGCTTATGCATAGAGCATTGCGTGGTGGAAAAGGTTTTTGCCTGTATGTATCACCTTTTCCGTTTACTTGATTTAAAAAGCCGACTGCGTTGTATATGTCGCGCCAAAAACGAATGCGATGTCTTATAGGTACGCTGTATTTACGCGAAAGAGACAGAAAACGACGCCGAATGCCGCTATTTGTTATATACACAAAAATTTCCATATTTCTTTTTTAGCACACTTTTAATTTAACACAATTCTTGTAATATAACTTCAACCATACTATACATACATACATATATATATATACATAAAAGCATAATTGCAAAAGTAATTAGTGTAACTCACTTCTTTTCAACAACATCGGCCATTTTGTTAATAGTTTTTTATTGTATTTTTGATCAACGAACAGGAATGAATACTAAAAGCTCAAATGAACTGCGATTTGTGTATGTTTTATGAATAAAACACAAGAGTGTAGCAATTGATGATGCTAAATATAAGTCTACGATGCAGAAAATCTTCAAAACTGATCAACTCTTTTTTTTTTATATGTATATTAAAAAGGTGACTTTATTTGACGAACAAAATAGTAGAAGACAAGCACGTCCGAACCGTAGAAGCAACTAACGCCGAATGAGACGTTTCACACTTTTCAGCGTACACAGGTAGATACACGAAACACACGGTTGCATTCATGAAATCGCGAATAACAGCCAAACATGAATTGAATACCTGTGTGCCTATACGAAAAAGCATCGAAAAACTATTACTGATGGGTTGTTGCCACTTCTAACAGTAGATTGTGTACTTAGGTACAGACTATAACTTCAAAATAACTCTGAATTATAATTTCTTTGCACAAATTTTCATTAAGTTACAAGCAAAAATCAATGCATACCTGCATATTTTGAGCAGGTGTTGATTTTTCGTTTGAAGACGCTATACACACGCAGATGCGAACAGCGTTGGGCGAAATGGTCACACTGGCAGCATTACAGGAACGGAACGTAGAGAATTTTGCGTACGATTTCGACCGGCGTGGAACGAGATTTGCATGTGGCAATGAAAATAATACCAAGAAAAATTACATGAAAGTAGGTGGAATATTCAGCACATAGAAACAAAGTAGCGTTACTTTAAGCGCCAAATACACTATACGAAATATGCTTTGAATTATGACAAGTTTATTTAACCGGATGGGCAAATGTTTAAACAAATTTTTTTGCAGTATTTCGCATTTTTTATGACATTTCGAATATACATATAGCGCATTTAATATGTACGTATACGTTTTCATTATTGCTCAGTGTGATTTTGATAAAGCGTTCATTTGAACAATTGGTCACCGCACTGTTTTGCTAAAATGCATGTAGCATATATGCAAACATATATACACATTTCAAACACATGTTATCTAAAGTAAGCTTGTCAACTGAGAGAAATTTTTGCAAGGTGGCGAATGTCGCCGCTTTGAAAAATATGCGCAAAACAAGCCCGAGCAACAAACGAATTTTACACAAACAAACAAATTTTGCAAATATGAAATAGTAATAAATTCGTGCATATATTTGCGTATATGCAGCTATATATAATATAATATGTATGTACATTAGTATTAAGAATTTGTGGCAAAAGATAACCCGTGTTTTAGAAATAACATAATTTTGACCCTTTTTAATTGCAAGCAACTGGTATATAAACATTTGCCTTAATATAATTGCTGCCAGGCAACGGATAATGCAATACCAACAGTAAATATGAACGTAAAGTAAATTTTAGTACTGACCTTTGGGTTCAATTTGCTTTTTAAAACGAAAAAATGCACGCATATATTGTATATGTACATACTTTTATGACTGAATCATAAGCAAAACTGGCGATTTGCTGATCTTCAGCATGAATTCCACAACAAAAGCGCTTGTATTCTGGCAATATTACTTTAAATACTTTAAAATACCTACATATGTTTATAATTATTTAGAAATATAAATATAATTGTTATAAATGTTTAGAACTTTCAAGATTCTGACAGTTTCTTAAGCTGTTTACAAGCGGCTTAATAAATAGTTGACATGACATCACAAAGTATGTGACGTCATTGACGTCACTAAACATTTTTTACTCATTACTTGCTAATTATTAATCCCATTTGAGAGGTTTATATGTTTCCGAAAAGTTATAAATTCTGCCGTTTGCAGCATGTTTCACATGTAATAAGCATGGCTGTATTTGTTGATTCAATTAAACAGAAAAAGCACGTGCATTAAGTCGATGAGGCAATCTACGGTTTTATGACGCTGATGCATCAATTCAATAATTCATTGCTTTTAGCTGGTCACTAAACAAAATGGCTACATTGTTTGCATTAATGAAAAGGGGAATACAGAACGTGAAATATATAGGAACAATAAAAACTGCAACATTTGTATGTACGTGTGTTGATTGAAAACCGGCATTTTCAATACAACAGGGTGCATGAGAAGAATGAATTCAGTATTTAAAAATTCAGATAATGTTAAAGAAACTGGGTGACGGGGAAGCACTTCCCAAATTTCTTCTGACACAGGAAATGCTGGGCACAGCCATTTAAGTGGAAGTGGTGTTGCAAATTACTACATTTTAAAATCACTTATTTGTTAAATTAATTAATTATTACTGATATTTGAAGAAAACTGCTCTGAGTACTATTTTTTTAAACAAATATGTGTATTTACTTTCTAGATTAGATAATTTCTTATTTTGCTAACTTAGGGCTGCTTTCTCAATGTCTAGTTAATAACCAACTCTCAGTTAAGTTCTGGTTAACTTAACCAAGACTCCTTTTTTGGTAAAGAAACTTATTTTTACCAGAACTTAACTGACAGTCGATCGCTAGCCAAATATGGGGAGACGTGACTTTTTAGTATGAAAAAGTACTATATAACGTTCTCTGCCACTACAACAAAAAACACAAACGTTCAGCTTCTTGACGAAGGTGATGGTCTAGTTCGCGTATATACGCTTATCATTTATATTTATATTCTATTGGGACTCCGATGCTTCTTTCTGGCTGTTACAAACTTCGGGGTAAGATTAATATACTAGGGTTTAATAAATTATTTAAAATATATCTGTTGGGTAATAATATTTTGGAAAATACATGTTGCCAAATTTACTTTGCACTTTCTCTAAACAGAGTAAGTGCATACACATACATAGCATATATTATTATAAAGAAATCTGCAGCGAATATTTTAATAAATATGTATTTATTTATGTAATTAATTTCAAATGCATTCAATAAAATGCTAAGTGCATTATATGCCTGCTAATTAATTCTATCACTGGTTACAGCCATCTAAAGCGATAATTTGCAGAATTTGTTTTTAACATATTTCAATGTCTAAATTATTAGCTTCTAAAGCTTATGTGTCAATACGCCTATGTAATGCCTATTAAGCAGTTTTGGTTGGCTCTTTCTCGATTTCGACAAAGCGATTGCGTTTATATTGATCTTTATAGCCAGCAATGTAACGTAAACGTCCCTCATACTGCGTGTCCATTATGGTTTGAACCAAAGGTGGATGGTCCTCCCCCAACTCGAGCCACATCTTGCCGCCGGGACGCAAATGTTCACAGGCTAAATTGAAAACTAAGCGTGCTACACGCAAACCGTCTGGACCACCATCGAGGGCATTCAAATTTTCATAACTGGAAATTAAAAAATAAAAACTATTGTTAAAAACTTTTAGAAATTTAAATTTAATAGCACATTTACCAAACGACTTCCGGTTGCAATAAGGGGAACTCTTCCGATTTTACATATGGCGGATTACCAATTATTAAGTCGTAAACTTCGTTGCCCAACTCTGGCGGTAGATAATTATCTACTTCCATAGTGTGGTGATAGACAGTAAAGCGATCTTCTAAACCAAGCAACTTGGCATTTTCTCTAGACAAATCTGTTGCAGCTTTGCCGCGTTCTATTGCTGTACTGCGTACATTGGGTAAAGCATGTAGAATCGCTAATGACATAGCACCGGAGCCGCAACCAACCTCCAACATGTTGATAGGTCCTTTAATATCACGATACACTTCAATCACTTTGGAAACAAACTCCTCTGTTTCCGGTCGTGGAATGAATACGGAAGGCGAGGTTTTTAATGTCAAATCCATAAAGTCCCATTCGCCTATTATATACTGTAGCGGCATACGAGCACAACGTGCTTCACAAAAACGTTCAAATTCTTCCAATTGATTTTCAGTGAAAACTAGGTCATTATAACCTTTAACCGTATTCTATAACATGAAATGTAATAGAAATTAAAAAATTACGATTTGTAAATAGTAAAAACTTACGAATTTCCTTCCAAGCACATGCGCTACCAAACATTTTAAATTAAAATCAATATCTCCAACGCCAGCCTTACGTAGTTTTTCGGGCCAACCTTCGAGCGCTTTATTTACTTCAATTGCGGGCGACTGTGTGGATTGTTGTTGTTGCCGCGACAAATCAGTTCCACTGGTGGCTTTGGTGTAATTGATGGTACTTACACGAGACACTTGTCGTATTTGTTGACGCAGCTGCTGCGCCACCAACTTTAACATATTGCAAAAATTGTTTTGCCTCTTTTCTGTTATGAAATGCCAATTAAATAATTTGCAAGCGTGCTGTTTTGATCTGAATCAAAATTTTGACATTTGCCTGTTTCACTAGATGGGTATTCGTTATATTCGGTACTCGGTGTTACAGTGTTGCTTTTAAGTACAAGATTTTTGCAAGTAATTTAATTTAAATATTGTATAATATGAGTTAAACGCTATTACAAGGTTTTATACGCTGAACAGGGTATATTAAGTTCGCTATGTATTACCTAAGTATCTAACTGATCAGCGACACGAGCTGAGTCTATTTAGTTATAACCGTGGCGTTCTTCAATTTTTTAGGTATCGAACTGAAATTTCGTAGTTTCTTTTCTACCCTTGAATCTGCTCATTTTCTGGATCTGCCGATTTCGGACCACTATAGCATATAGCTGCCATATATATGAACTATGGAAATCGAAGTATTTGCATGGAAAACTTTCATCTGTCACGGAGCATAAAAATAGGAATCTGGTAAGGAATCTTATATGTTTATGAAGGGTATTATAGTTTCGGTGCAACCATGGTTAAGATTTTTTCCTGTTTTTCAAATAAAATAAAAAAGTTTTGCAATGGTTGACTATTTAATATTCGTATTAAAAACACAGGAATCTTTAATGTGCTACATAGAAAGTCAATATAAAAATATATATAAGTTCTTAAAATCTTTTTTAAAACGAAAATATATTCCATGTAGACATATGCTACTGTTTTATTTTTATTTAATACCCTCTGATGTTGAAGCTGTGACGTTTATGTCATGTGAGATTGTAATATTTCTTCCCGGAGAAGTGGCAGAAGAGTTTTCTGACTGCAAGCTCACAAATGTGTTTGATTTGGCAACCTCGACAGATAACGTTTTAGCTTTCAAATTTTCTGGCTTATCTTCAGCATCCTCCTCTGTTTCTGATTCGTATTTCTGTAAATAAACGAACTAATTAGCAAGCTTGTTAACTAAAATGTATCTTATAAAATTAGACAATGATGTAATAAAAAAAAATTTTAAATGCGCAACACTCAAATACTAG